GGTGCTGCCTACATCCTGTGGATGGGGCTTGCGTGAACCAGTTTCTGGCATGCTGTGGATCAGTGCCAGTTCACTTACCGGTGGTTGGGGACCCCTGATTTAAAGGGAACTCTCTTGGGGAATGGAGAGCACAGTTTGGCAGAAATGTGGCATTTGCCAGTTGTGAACCTGGTATCTCCTCATAGGTGCATTGGTGTATAGAGGCACGTGAATAAATATTTTACTTCTTTTGCATCCTGACTGCTTCTCCATCTCATCTGCTAAAAAATTGGCTTGGGTCTTCTCCGCAGCCCTGAGCAGAGGTTCTCTGAACACATCAAAGATGAGAAGAACACTGATTTTCCACAGAGGTTTATCCTCAAGCGAGATGATGCCAGCAGTGATCGAGATGATAATCAGGTAAGAGAGGCCATATATAACTTTACCTGATTGTGTTCCATAATTATGAAGCACAGCGATCACTTTTATTGGCTTTCATCATTTGGGCTTTTTTTTTTTTTAACTGACGCTGCTTCTTTGCAATATTTATTTACTTGGTCAAGTTCCTCCAAGATATTTTATATCATTCAGTCAGAATCATATTTGTATGGAAAGCAACCGTCTTTCTAATCTAATGCAGCGATGGGACAACAACTTGCAATTCCTAGTAACATGATATAGATTTGGATATATTGACAGGGAATTTAAGAAATTGCAGGAAGGATGGTGAAGAAGCTATTACTGATTTAGTTTCAGATAGGAGAGTCATAGAATCATATTTTTTTATTTATGGGGAGTTCCAAGGAGAGCTGGAATGGATTGCAAAATAAACAAATCCAACTCAACAGGCAAAGCGTTAATTACAAAATCCAACGTTTGTTTATACCTTTGTGCAATCCATTCTTTTTCCCTACCGTGTTAGAAATTTGGTCCAGTCGTTTAAGGTAAATGTGGAGAGATTCAGGACAAAAAGAAGAAAGGTGGCCCTTTATTCCACATAGTCATTAATGGAGATTTGGGGCAATGGGAATGAATGATAGCTCATCAGTTTAAAGGAACTGGGCAAATACTTGGCACATTACGCTGTCGGTGATTTCTGAAATCACAAACAATATCCCTGAAATAATCATTTGCAAATAATAAATTGAAGTAAACAAGGTCAAGGAAGTAACAGTGAGAAATCCATACAATCTATGTCTGTGAGCTTCCATAATTCTAATTCGCCACTGGTAACAAAAAATGCTGGAATAGATGGACAGTGGACTTGATCCTGTGGGATTCTTTATATGGTCTTATATTTTCATTAAATTAAAGAACAGTAAAGTCTAGCTTCAATTGTGGAACCTGAGAGTTAAGAGCATCATTTTTTCTGTGAGGTTATTTTGATTCTGGTGAACTAGCGAATGAAGAAGGGAACATGTTAAATTGGTATTCCTTCTAAGGAAAAAGGATAGCTTGCAGTTTAACAGGATGCTTAGATTTAGATATTGTGTTATAATGTTGAAGGGTGAGGTCAGGTTGTCCCTGCCAGCCTGCCTGTTATGTGGACTTGATTTATACATGTGAATTACGATGATTGAAAGCAAAATAATTTTTAGGGTTTTTTTGTCACAAATATTGTGATGAAGGGCTTTTAAAAAAAATCCTGGCCAAAACCTAGAGATATTTTCAAAGCAGACTAATTTACCCAGGAAAATCTAGGCAGTGTGTTGTGGCCTCAAACAGCTGAAAGAATTCATGAAGTAATTGCTGATTGTATGCGTAAGATTTGCTTCTGGGTTTGGCACAGAGTAAGGCTGTAACTGAACAAAGTTCTATTTGTCATTAGATTAGGATCCCACTGCAAGATGGACGAAGGAGCAAATCCATAGAAGAACGAGAGGAGGAATATCAGAGGGTTAGGGAACGCATATTTGCACGGGAGGTAAGCGTGGATACATTTTGATGGGACCCAGAAGATACTCAACAGTGTATCCATAAGTTGTTTTGTGTTTAATCAAACACTGAATCATTATATGTTTGCTAGGGCTCAAACAGCAATCACCAGAAATTGCAAATACAGTACAACTGTGAAGGTTCTTTTCAACGAGACACAGAAACAGAAGGTTGACCAAGTTAAGCAGCTGAATTTTATCTAATCCAACCTTGAGGCCTAAAATAGTCACTTAGCAAACCCAACAAGACAAGAATACTGCTCTCTGATCCCAAAAAGCAAGCCATTAGCCATCAGAAGTTAGAACAGTGTACTCCCAATAATGGCCTCCTGTAATGATAGTACAAGAAAACCATTAGTGTCAGGGAAAGGGAGGGAGAACAAAAGGGATAATCCGGACTAAGACTTTGTAAGTAAAAATTGTTTCTGCCTTTCTAAGGAATGCAATTATCTCTCTCTTTTTCCTAGCAATCAGGGTGTTTTGAAATACATCTGTGCTTAAAAGTTTGTGAACCATTTTGAATTTTCAATGTTCTGCCATAAATATGAACTTAAACAGGGGTGTCAAATTGGATTTCTTTGAGGGTCAGATCAGCATTGTAGATCTCTGTGGGCCTGCCGGGGGGGGGGGGGGGGGTAAGGCCCCCTGAGGCCCCCGCCTGGCCAAAAGGGGAGGCCCCCCCCCCCCAAATTTGGCTGCCAGAG